ACTTTGAAAATTACAGCAAATAAATCGATACCTCATGACTGCAAGCTTTGGTTGTTAATGAAATTTGTATTCCATGAGACACTGGTTAAGACTGAACTATTCCGAAATTGTACGTTTAACACGTCACAGTCGACCATCCGACCTGACCACGTGAGCGGCCGTCTCAGTAGTCCCAGGTATTGACCGGTATGATCATGCTAAACGGGCCATTTATTTCGCCAAACAAATAATTTAAATTTCCTTCCGCCTAAACTGAGTTTAGAGCGGCATTGCGTGGTCACAGGTAATGGTCGGTATGATCATGCTGAATGGGCCATGAAATTTTGCACAAAACAAGTCATTCAAATTTCGTTCCGCCTAAACTGAGTTCAGAGCGGTATCTCTCGTCGCCGGCCCTTTGGTAACGGTTCAGCGACAGAGCCGACTGTGGGTCGGGTCACCGTCACTGGCACATGGCGAGCGGGGAAGTGATTAGATGGTGCGTGGGATCTGGTGAAAGAGAAAGTGGGACATGGTTCGACTCCCACTGCGCAGAGAAGCGGGTCAAATGTGCGTGCGGCGCAGCGCCGATGGCTGTGAAAGCCAGGAAGAGGAAATGACCGATCGCTGATATAATGAGCGGGACCGGGATGGAATTGACTGGGAGACGAGGCTCTGGCGCATTTCGCCCATGGAGGATAATAGTCTGCGGAAATGCGGTACCGCATTCCACTAGTCTCCGCCATTACAGCGCTCCGACGCATGCCCAGCGGCGCTGGAATAATGGATTGGGACGACGGGCCAAACAGCAAACACACCGGCTAGGTCGGTGACCATTGACCAATGACCAAGTCGAGCGGGCGGCGCCGGCGCTGGAGATAAGGACAGAATAGCGAAACTGGTATTCGGCTCTGAGTTCTTCGAATACGAAAGAACGATTTCGTTCGTTGGCGGCTGTCAATTAGGGGAGCGGGGAACCATCAACCAGACATAGATCCACAGGATCGGTATCCGAAGAAACGCATAAAAGGGCTGTACGCTCAACTAATCATCATCAACGTAAAAATGAAATTAAAACTGTGAAATTGAACCAGATTATGCTTAAAATCATAACCTGAACAATGCTGACAGTTTTATTTTTAAATCAATTACCTCAAATTATGACAAGCAATTTAATGTAACCGGTGAGCCTTCGTCCAACAATGAAAAGCATATTGAAACGTTATAACAATTTAAACGATATGCAAGTAAAATGTGAGTAAGTTTGAAATTTGCTTTATCTTGATACATTTACAGGCAAATAAAGTGGATATAAACTAAAACGACATCTTATATTATTTGGTCCCTGAATCATGTAGAACACGGGCGTAAAGCGCGTAAGTGCCAAAAGTTAAACGGTAAATAACATCCCTAAAAAGCCGATGTTTAACGATGATTCATTTTGTTACATGAACGTTTCAAAACGTCGGCTTAGGCACGTACCTAAACGGAAAATCAAGAAAGTAATTGGTAATTAAATTTACATTCCTACCGTCTTAATCGAGCTTTACAAATACAATAAAGCGTTTTAAATATAAAGGTCGGGCAATACGTATCCATAACACATTTGTTAAATGAATGAAATTTAATTAACGACTTGCAGCATTTGATCAAAGTAAACGATTACAAAAACCTGTACGAAGCAAATAGATTAAAACGGTGAAAGGATTTAATACGGCAAAATGCATTATTTATCAAAGGTTTGAGTTAAACAGACAAGTTTGACATTTCCACCTAGTGAATTTAAAGTTTCACCGGCAATTAATTTATATTCGATCAGTGAGCCTAGCCCAGGTTATAGTAAAATGGGAAATAATCAATATGTTCAATTACGATAATTCATGAGAATTATGAGCAAAATATGGCAATTTTGACATTTCCTTATGAATACCTTATTCAGAATTTTTCCCAGAATTTCATTGATTCCCGATCAGTGAATGAGAGAATAAGAACAGTAAAACGGTGAAATAACCTTTGAACGGTTAAATGCAAAATTTACAAATAATTCTGAGGAAACATGGTCCTAATTCTAACAGCTCGCTTAGTGAATGTTTAGGTAATAATTTAACCGGCATTTCAAATGATTTTGACGAGTGAAGTGATCAGTTTCAATGACAAAACCACATTACGCATCACGAAAATTGTAGGTAGGTACATCGCTGTCAAAATCATATCATTACGAATTTATAAAGTTTTACAATTCAACGCCTGATAGCAAAGTTTGAATTGACCATTTATAGTTTTTAGAAAGAAATGAAGCACAGCAAAGTTCCATAGCATTTCAAACATAACACTAGATATCAGGCATAACAATAATTGAAGTTCTCGTCAGGACAGGCCTTTATCCGTGACGAAAACATTTCAATTTCATCACTCGCACAACATTCAATTATATCAATCATATACTTTTATCAATCAATCATACGGTTCGCCGTTTATCGGTCAGATATTTCCTCTCACCGATGTCTTATTATTGCAGTCGTCAACAAAATTTTCCTAATGAATTTTTGGTGGCTGGCTCGCTCGATTGTCCCTGAGTAATGAATATTTCACGGAGTGAGCAAATTAAATCGGCACATCGACTGGGGCTGTTCGGTCGAGATTTACGGGCTTCTCCAACCAACTAATGCAGTTTAAGACTTATATAGCGGTCGGACAAGGGTCACACCGACTACAGCACAAAGCGCACGCAAGACAAGCTAGTTCGGTCGAGACTTATGGGCTTCTCTATATCAAGAGAAGGGATCGCTGCCGACTTGCACAACATGCCGCCCAAACAACAGGTGTCTGGGTCGCGGATTTACGGGCTTCTCCAACCAACTAACGCAGTTTAAGACTTATATAGTGGCTGAACAAGGGTCACACCGACTGACATGATTGTGCACGCGAACTAGCCTGCTCGGTCGAGACTTACGGGCTTCTCCATATCAGAAGAAGGCTCACTGCCGACTTGAGCGCAATGTGCACACGTAACAGCGATTCCCGGCCGATGCACCAAATTTATGTAATGTACCCGTGATGCCAGCGGCAGCGCTACCGCCAACACCCGTTCTATCCCCCGACAGCCGTCTGCCACCCGGCCGTGGTGGTCCAACTATTGCATTTACTTTACTTTGGCATCCGGTGGACAGGGAATGCATCACCTTTGGGCACACACGGTTGGGTCGCGCACCCTCGTGGGTTGCGGTGTGCATTACACCGTCTTAATTGCAAGTTACGTTATTATTACATTTACGTTACGTTAATGTTTAAACTCCGTGACTCATTCATTATCTCCGTCTTTCGTCTCTCGTCTCGAATGTCTCTCTCTGCCAAACAAGATAAAGATTTCTGCTCCGTTATTATTTATATAAAACAAGTATAACGCCAAAGAATGAAACAAGACTGCTCGGGAATGTACGTCTACGGGAAATTGCGTCGCCTCAGAATAAACGCGCAGATTAGCCTAACATACCCTAACACGCGCAATCTACACATTTACTTTACCTTGCTCCTAGCCTAGCTAGGGAGGCGGGGTGAGCACAAAGCCCCATCCTCCGGGTCAGCGGGACACCTACCTCGAGCGAAGCCACCACACGAGAGCCCCGATCGGCCGGCGCTCACGCGTTATAACCCAGCTCGAGGCGGGAGTCGGAACGGTCAGCCCGCCCGAGGTGAAAGCCAGCCTCGCGTTCCGACGCGGCGCCCGTCGACCAGGAAAACCTATTCCTACAGGCGCGGGCTTTACACCTGCCGCAGCGTTCGCCGGTATGTCACAGCCGCAGCTAAGCGCAGTGACATCATCGGAAAAAAGCTTCATAACTTGCTTCGTCGCAGGTGGACGCAGCTAAATGACCTTGTTTCTGGTCAGGCAAGTATTGGGGAGCAAGGTAATACCAAAAATACCGGGGGGCATTGGGGGGCATTTAGTATTGCTCTGCATTTGTAAGTCTCTTGAAGCATTGCACACACATCTGTGACATGGACATTTAAATTAGCTGTGACAATAAACAAGCAATGACACAGCTGACTTTTTTGCATTCATCACATTGCCCAAGCTTCAAATTATTAGTTTTGACCAAATATTTCCGTTTAACTATTATTTAGAACCGCCTATACTTGGGATAATTCCAACGTCCCTTTTCTCTCGGACGTGGACAAGGCAATGGCGTTCCATGATATGTGTCAGTTTGCGATGAAATATTGGGTATATGTGACATTTTTGGCAAAAATTACTGCTGTGTTCGCAAAATATGGACATTTTTACGTCGTTTGCGCCACATTTCAAGCCATTTTGAGAAAGTCACCTAAATCATTTTTGGCGTGCTAAATCGTGCATCGGACCCATAGTGCGACGGTCCGCTGGCTCGGCCTCAGTCGAGTCCCGGCGCGCCGCCAGCTCAGTCGCCTGTCAGTGCCGCCACTACAGGTGCAGTAGGTGCTGTAGGTGTTGACTAAGGTGTTGTTGGAAGTGGAAGTGTCTAGGTGCTACCGTGGACTATCTCGGTGACTGAAAACTCCTCGTCGCGTGTTACCGATCGCGTGTCGCCGCGGCTCTGTCTCGGTCTCAGGTGTGTCGGCGGCGGTCAGACAGGGCCCGACGACCGACCGATCGCCTCTCACTTTCACCGACCGCGCGCCGCGAGCCGTGAGCCGTGGGACCGTCCGAGGCGACCGCTGTCTGCAGCGGCCCCAGCTCGGCCGCCGTGAGAACTGCCGGTGGGCTGAGCGGAGCTGGTGGACCAGGAACACTCCCCGTCACCGCCTACCCGGGGGCAGGCAGACAGTGAGGGAGAACAGTGAATAAGACAGACTGCGGGGAACCCGAGGCCGAGTGGAGCGTGGATCCTTGCCGATATCATGTTGATCGCACGTAAGCCGGACGCAAATCGCCCGTGAACCTCTCGTCAACATCCCGTGATTCTCCCGTGATTTTCCGTGATCCGGCCGCCGCTCTCCCGTGTTCCCGGTGAGTGAGTCTCCGCCCTCCGCCGTGTCTCCAGGCTGAGGATGGGGTTCAGCTCGGCGCTGCAGGGCCGCGCCAGCCACGAGGCGCTGCTCTCACGGCAGGACTGTGAGCTGCGGCTGATGGACACCATCCGGCGGTGTCTCCAGCTGCGTGTCCGCTGTGACCGGGAGTATGCCGCCGGGCTCGGCCAGGTGGTGGCTCAGGCTCAGAAGTGGGAGCGAGCCGAGGACATGGCCGGCAGCCTCATTGCACAGGTGAGCTACGGGACCGGACAGGCGGGGGGGGGGAGGGGGTGAGTGAGGGCTGGTGTTGTGAGGTCACATGGGTAGTGGGTACTCCAGTTAATCGGAGGATATGTGTAATCGCAGTAGGGTCCCTAGTCTCTGCAAGGAATTGGCGTCAGTAATCAGTATAGCATCCTCGAGACGCTTTCAATCCGCTTAAATACCTTATAGAAAATGAAACCTCAATTTAACCCAAACTTCGATGCAGTACAATGTTCTTTTAAGTGGATAGCGCTGGCGTCATTCCGATGTCTTTGCCAACTTAGCAGACTTGCATATTCAGGAAGTGGTCATTGTTATTTGCTGCTGTTCACGAGTCCTGGATGTAGGTCATGTCCATTGTTTTCTGCCCGCTGGAGTATGACCGGCATGGGTCATTGTGTTTCAATAGCCCTGCTCCAGGCCGTGTCTGGTCACTTGCAGTTCCCTTCCGGGTATAAGCGAGCTATTATATACCTCTGGTGGTCCCGTAGGCAATTCGTTCACCTAGCTGGAATACCTTGCTGGCTTCTCTGACACCATAACCGAGCTTATATAAGCGCTGGGGTAGTTGTAACGGTATATTTTCTAGAAAAGAAACTGCTTGGTCCACACTGGCAGGTTTAATCACGGTGGGTATCAGATCACTTTATCTACCCCCGAGCCACATGCAAGGGTGGATAGATGAGTTTGAAGACGCGGCCTGTGGCCCCGACGCCCACCCTCCCTCACTAATTGGACACCCGTAATGAGGACTATTGTCTTCGCGTTTCGTTGTTTTGTTTCGTGAAGAGTAGAGCACGTCCCATGTCTAAAAACCCACACTGTGCACAGACTGCGGCCGGGTGGGTTGAAATATCCAGGTGTTGTATTCTCGGTAAGGTACCGTAAAACTGAGCAGGTTGTCCGCCGCACGATATGGTCCCATCACGTCATACCCCTACCCGGCGCCCACTGACCGGCGCCGGCTCGGAGCTCTTTGTTTATCGATCTCATGCAATCTCCCCACGTGTATCGCAGGAGTGCGTTATGTTTGCCACCTCCATCAAGCCCTTATGTAGATCATCCTTTCCTTGTATCCTCCCCTACTGCTCTTTATTATCTGAAAATCGCCTATGGGTTTCAGTTCTCCTAAAACACATAAGGTAAGGCTCTCATATTTCCACTCCTGATGAGGGACGCCCTTTGACAGCTGCTCACTCTTCGCCGGCCATGACCGACCCCGGCAAGTGTGGTTAATCACACTCTTAACCCGCTCTTCGCACTTATCCTTGAGACCGCCCCTCTCGACAGGCAGGGTGTGTTATAGACCTCTCTTCCACCTTCCACCCTTTGGCGAACTTCTGGCCAAATCTCCCGCCAGGTGTGTCAATGACTGGCAGTGCTCTCGCCTCTTTCTTGACTTGTGTTACTTTTCCGGCAGGCGTGTCTCTGTCTATGACTGTCCGTCCCTCGCCCCTCTCTGACCTCTTTGACCGTCTCCCCATCCGTCTCTGACCTGTGTTCTCCCTCCCCGGCAGGCGTGGTCCACAATGATGGACGAAACTGAGTCTCTGAGCCGTCTGATGCGTGCCAACGCTGAAACCCTGGCCACCACCGTCATAGACAAGCTGAACGCACTGGCCACAGAGAAGCGAGCCTCTCGGAAAATCTACCAGGACGAACAGGCTCGGATGGCCCTGGAGATCACACGCGTAAGTGTTCGCTGGGGAAGGGGAGGGGTTAGCCATGTGATTGGACGGTTCGGTGGAAATCGTAGGCGTAGATATTGTAGCAGTTATGGCGTTGTTAAAACGGGTGGAGGTTCGTTTTGATGGAATGCAACAGGCTGGATGCATTGGGTTGGTCACGCAGACCTGGGAACGAATCTGGCAGTTTGCTCGTGTGGACTGTGGAGTACTGGTAAGGAATTGAGTGGGACGAGCTGCTCGTTATGCATGTGGATTCCAGGATTTTCATAACCATTGCCAGTATACCACTTACGCTTGTTGATAAATGATCCATACTTGTTGCTCTGAGCATTAAAAATCTATTATATACTTGTCAATCTGAAAGAGTCGTTGTTGTACCTCGTTCAGGGTCAAGTATCTCTCGACCTTGTCGGCGGTTTCTATGAATGGCCCGGCCCGTCGTTACGGCCCTCCCTGTGGGTCCATCCATATGGTGCGGTGGCCGTCACCGACCCCCTGGAGCGGGCGGCTGCCAGCCCTGGGGGACCTGTCGGGCCGGTGACGAAACCAGGCCGATTGCCGGCGTAGCGACGGCGGTCCGTCCACGCGCGGACCCACGCACCGTGATAGGCAGCGGGGTGGTGGGGCGGGGGGGGGGGGGCTACACTGGTCCAGTTTAGGACCCTGACCTGGCCCAGGGTCTGACGAAGGCCATGGAGAGCTCACTGTGAGGAGCGCTTTGGTTTGAATGTCGTCTGGTGAGATGTGTCGGCGACCTTTTGTTGATAGTCGTTGCACTTGTTTGTAGTGATAAGGGGGCTGGTAATCCTTATCGTTGTGGGGCTCCGATGATTCTGCAGTTTGGATGCACAGGAGTTTCAAACTCATCATCCTTCATGGGAGTACTTAATCGTTGAACATGCCGGCAGCAATAACAACCTTCCACGGTTCCTGGATCTCATTATCCTGGACTCATTTTGTTACATTGCATATTATCGCTAAATACATCCTCGGACCTCGACCTGTGCATTTCCACTGGCACTGCCGGAGTAGCCCGAAATCCTTGAACATTCCGGGCGCCTCTCGGCCTTTGTCGATATGGATCACCGGCCGGATACCGGGGAATCGCTCCTGAACGCTGTACCGTAAACCGGGGTGAGTTGATATGGGGTGGTGAGTTGATATAAATTGCTCGAAAAATGTTAAAATGTGTGCTGCTCCTCCATTTGTAAACCAATTTTTAGTTTTATTTTTCTGTGAAGTGAAGCAACCAATAAGTGATGCATATAGCTGAGAAAGGCATGCATGTGGTGCAGTGCCTTCTTAACACATTACTTTTTTCAAAGTCCTTTTTTTCTTCTGATTTTGAAACTAAGGAAAAGTCCCCACCCTGCAGCAAAGACGGTGGATATTCATGAAACAACATGCACTGGGAAAGAAACTACCATCAATTTACTGTTGATCCCAGGTAGTTTTGGGTTTCACCTATAACAACGCTTTTTTATAATTTTAACCCGCGCACCGACGGGGGGGGGGCGGATATCCGCCCCCCCCCTGAGGTTTTTCGCGGATAGCGGGAAAACCGCGGCGCGTAGCGCCGCGAAATTTGGTATGACTATTCTCTCATCAATTTTACACAAGGTGTGCAAGTTTGAACCTCCTAACTTTTAAGGTCAGGTCACCAGGTCACTTTGAATGACCCAACCTCAAGTCACTTTTTTGCAACTTTGTCACCGTGCCAGAGCTACAGTAGATGTCGGAGGCCTTTGAAAGTCGCAGGATGTTATTAGGTCATTAGTAGCTACAATTTGTATATCTCGGAATTTTGATGTCGGTGACCTAAGGTCAGGTCAATTTCGCGACCTCCCCATTATAAGTCAATGGGGGAAAAATCAACTCCCTGTTTTTACCACTAAAACGGGTCGGAATGGCCCCATATACCATACATGACTTCACATACGATCAACCTTCACTACCTTGAGGTCTGTTTTGCTGTTGGGCAGCTGTAAGGTCATGTGACGTCATCAAAGGTCACCAAAGGTTTTTTGCCAATAACTCCTTACAGGAACAAGATACAGCCGCGCGGATGGTCTCATTGTGTTCAGCTCGTCAAGACGCATCGAATGATATACATGATGACCTCGAGGTCACGTGACCTGAGGTCAACCTTTGACCTTGACCTTTCGAGGTCAACATATATATCATTCGATGCGGCTTGACGAGAGGATCACGATGATGCCCTTAGTTTGTTCCTATCTTGACTACTTCGAAAGTTATTCGAGAAAAACCCTCTCCATATCTAGCGCCGCCATTTTGACTTTTTCGACCCCTGTGACGTCATCTTTGACCTGACCTGAAAATGACCTTAGTAAAAATTGTAGACCTTGTCCGTGCGTATCCGATGCCGTTTACCGCTTGTCGCTATCTTGCTTCGTTTTCGAGATCTCAGGGGGGGGGGCGGTCATCCGCCCCCCCCCGTCGGTACTAAGTTGGCGCAGACCCCCGTCGGTGCGCGGGTTAAGAAAAGTGACAGGTGGTGAGTTGATATGCCATCAGGTGGTGAGTTGATATGCATGATAAAAGCTGATACCAGGCTGGTAGGCATGCAAATTAGCATGAAATATGGGTCTGCAGGTAAGACAAAGTCAATTAGACCAACTCTTCTCCTTTTCTTTCCCCACATCATTCCATCAACCCCAAAAGCTTTAGTTTTTTTCTGAATGCTTGAGACGAGGCCTGTTAGTATCACTGATGTTAGTTGTCGGACTTTCGTCCCCGTCTTGAGTTGAGATGTTAGTTTCACAACGTTTCAGCCAGTAGCTTATCCGGCCGTAGTCAAGCATGCCTCGATAGTGGAGTGGTTACAACCGTGGACCATCACCGGGGAAACCCGAGTTCGATTCCCGCTGACTACAGGAGCTTTCGAACTGTTTGACGCGTACGGCGCAACGCCACCAACATCCAGGTCCTTGAGGGTTAAAGAACACCTGACGAGTGACGACGGCCGGAGAGTAACTGGGCGAAACGTTATGAAACTGAATCTCAACTCAAGACGGGGACGAAGGTCCGACAACTAACATCAGTAACCCCAAAGTTTTTTTTTTCTATGGACATACCTAACATGAAAAAAGGCACAGCACAGCTCCCTGTCAAGTCTCAAGATGGCTCCCTACAAGCTACAAAGGAACACTATAGAACACCTATATTACATACAGATTAAAAAAACTGTTATATTTATTCGTAGTTTCGAAAATGACAGAACTGTCATTTCTGTATGGCTAACAGCGCGGGAATTCTGATCTCGTGAAACTGATTAGTTTTCCTGCTTGGCAGTTGCCAACCGAGAATGAGAGGCAAAATGAAATGGAACAAACAATATAAAGAAATTGACTGGTGTTTAGCCCTCGCCCGTATTCGTGTTTTGCCAGCGTTTAACGTATGGGGGGGGGGGGGGTCCGTTGGAATCCCATCGTCGTTTGGCCCCTGGTGGAGCTAGAGCTTCGCGGAAAAAATGAGCGTGTTGCCCGAGACGCGAGGAAGCCGATGATAACCAACTTGGTCATTGGTTAACCTTCCAGGCCAGGTCAATTACCCAGAAGTCGGGAAAATAGGGGGTTATTTGAAGTTCGTAAAGCGAGTTTATTATTTTTTGGCTGTTGCTGATCGCGAATGTCATGTTAGTTTTGCTCACAGATGTCTTCGTACATTTAGGCCAGGTCAGGTCAGGTCAGGTCAACCAGTAGGTGTCCTGCCGGCTATCCATAGGGAGTGTCAAGTGTCAGCTACCACTGACGGTGTCGTAACATGTTACGAAGGCACTAAAACTACTTCATAAATGATCAAATGCATGTTAAATTCGAAATCGGCCCGAAAAAAACTACCCTAGAAACATGTAAAACTCCAAAAAGTGAACCGAGGTCACCAAAGGTCAATGACCTGACCTGACCTTCAGGTGACCTTGACAGTTGACACCCAAAATACTGCGTGGGACCAACATCATTTACATGTTTGGACGTTACAATCACAAAAAGACTGGAAATGCGCGGATAATGTGAGCCGACTACGCCAAATCGCGATTCCGGCCAAGCATGGTCTCGAGAATCAGGTCACAAGTCAAAAACCATTTGAGTCAGAGTCATGAAATCTTTGGAACATGTGTAAAATTGATAAACTCGAGAGGTACTGAAAGTTTCGTCGTGATCGGCCGCTTTTTGCGCGAGTTATGTGCGAAAAGCCGAGGTGGTCCGTTCGCCCGCCTATAAGTGCGAGGGTTAATTTTGGCTTTTGATGCCGAATTCTGTTTTATGTCGCTTAGAATACAGTCCGAATTAGATTCGCTTTACTTCACTTCATTAATATTTTGTTGACTACCAGTCAACAAAAGCTCAGAAGTATATGTATTCTTTCATTTCAATCCATTATTTCTGTCAGAGGCATATCAACCTTGACGCGCAACTGACGATGTGTTTTAATTACAAGAAAATACACTTGTAATTCCAAAATATATTGCCAGTTTTGATACCGTTGGCTTGAGGACACGTGACTAGCCAAGTTCAGAATGTTCTAAGTAAAACTAAGTATCATAAAGCGGAAAATGATGCTGCTAAAATCAAGCCATTTTGATCGCGCTGTGTTGGACATGATTGCGTTTTCATGAATGTGAGGTCTGCTGCCAAACTACTAGCATTTTTCTAATGGTTTCTTTCAGGATGTGTTCTCTCATCCTTTTTTTAAACACTGGCATTTTATCAACTCACCTCTGAGCTTCTTTAGCCGAGAAATTTTGAAAAATCCAAAATCATATCAACTCACCCCCTGGGGGGTGGTGAGTTGATATGAACTTTGGCGTTTTAAAAAAGGGGCTTAATATATACATTTTTTATTCATTTTTGCTGATTGCCTCCCCAAGGCATGTGCCATGAAACTGGCACAAAAAGAATTCCGTAAATGAATGTGGCTTTTAACGAAATCTAGAATAGCCTCAAAATCCATATCAACTCACCCCGGTTTACGGTACCGGCCCA